AAAGAAAGAAAAGAAAAAAAGAAATACCTCAGTGGAAAGAAGCACAAAGGACAAGAACAATTTGTAATTGGCTCGTAAATATGAAACAAAAAGGAAGTCGCATTATTAATCAAAAGAAATGTAAAATTAAAGAACAAAACAATATATTTTTAAATCTGTCTAATTAACAGCCAATTTTGAGGGCTTATAATGTTCTTGATTGACAGAACCAGTGACATAATTTGCAGGGCTTAGTGCAAAATGAAAAAGTGGGGCTCCTTGTCCCAGAAACTGTGAAAACTTTCAAGAGAGTGACAGTAAAGCATTAAACTAGGCCTGTGGGCTTTGTGAGAATGGGACCCTTGTGACTGCCCTGATTACAAGCCTGTGAAGCTGGTCTGTTGGCTTCTAAGGTGGACTGAGTGAGACTTGTAATCTTATATATTGAGTTTGGAAGAAGTTGGTAGAAGCCTTTAAAAGGAAAATTTGGCAGATTATGTCAATAACTTTTTTTAAAAAAGTTTATGCCTTTTGTCTAGGTAATTTTACTTTGTGGAATATATCCTAGAAGGGAAATATCAGAGATGCGAACAAATACTTCATTTCAATGATGTTCATTGCATTATGATTTATAATAATGGAAAACAAAAATAAATGCTTTCAAATAGAAAAACTGTTAAATTATAGAAATAAAAGGTATAAGTTTTAGTGAAGAGAAGAAAAGAAAAAAAATGTTTCCCCCAAGTGGCATCTTTGTTCATGGTTCTTTAGAGTGAGTGTAGCCTTTATGGAAGAAAACTATGTTTTATTTCTCTGATTTCAGAAGAAATGAAGGTTTGTTGTAGAACATTTTGAAGTAGAAAATAGTTTTGAGAGAGAAAGTACAAAATCACCTACAAAAGTCAGTTATAATCTTACTGCTCGTAGGTAAACTGAAGGTGCAGTGTTTTGATTCAGCACCTTTTCTGTGCTTTGTATGGTTAAGCATATATTGTTATGTACAGGTATTTTTCCGCTTGATATTATGACCTAGATGTTTTCCTACAACTATAATACAGCTAAAAAATGTTTAGCAAAATATACATATGGAAAACGGCACAAACCACAAATATGTATCTCAGTTTTCAGAAAATGAATACACTGTGTCTACATCATGAGTTTCCAGATTAAGAAATAGAACATTCCTAGCTTTCCAGAAGCCCTCATGCCTGGTTCCAGTCATTACCACCCTTCCCCCAAACAGCAACCACTATTCTGACTTCTAACACTTTAGGTTTTGCCTATTTTTGACCTTTATATAAATGTAATCATGTAATATGGACCTTTTTTTGAGCCTGGTTTAATTCAACAGCAATGTACATTCATATTTTCTGTTTAGCAAATATATCGTCCTACTATGGCTCTGTCTCCTTGCCAACACTTGGTATTATCTGACTTTTTCATTTTGAACATTTTGGAGGGTGTATAATTATATCCTGTTGTGGTTGTAATTCCTATATCTCTGATAACTAATGAAGTTTAACCTTGTTTTATGTTGATTGGCTATTTAGCTGTCATCTTTTGTGTAATACTTGTTCAGATCACCTTCAGTCCACTGTCCACTCATAACTGTTCAGGCTGGTTGTCTCTCTATGTAATTTCTGCAAGTCCTGAGGTCTTTGTGTCCTTTTATCTAATACAAGTCTGCCCACCATCTTCCACAGCATTGTGTTCTAGAGCCTTTAAGAGTAGCTCTTTCCTGCAAAGGACTAAAGTATAGAGATGCCACATGTGACAGGGGTTTCAGATATCTTGAGGAATCACTACATCTTTCATGTGCATGGTCAAGAGGATAAACTAGAAACAGAGACACTGAAAGTTTCTCATCAAAAGTTTGGGGATTTTCAGTACCTGTCAGTGAATGAGCCTCATCAAGCTGTGAGCCAAATCCAGGAGCTCTGTTGGCAATAGACGCAGCCAGAGATCCACACCAAGGAGCACATGATAGAGCACATGATAGTGCTGGCACAGTTTCTGAGCACCCTGCCAGAGGAGATTCAGACATGGGGCAGGTCAAAACAGCCCAAGAACAGCAAGGAGGCAGGAACCATGGTGGCAAACTTTATTCAGGCATGTGAGAAGCAAGGTGAGAAGGAGGAAGCAACTGGCTGCTTCTGTTTATTCAATATCTGCTGTATGCCTGGCATGTAATAGGAGCTGAATACAAATTTGCTGAGTGAATGAAGGAAACCATGAATTTTATACATTCAGTCTGATCTGCCTAATCTCATGTGAGATGAAAGAAATATGGGGTTTGGTTTTTTTAATTTTCAGGTTTGGGGGTGCATTTGCAGGTTTATTACATGAGTATATTGGGTGATGCTGAAGTTCTGGCTTCTAGTGATTCTGTCACGCAGGTAGTGGACATAGTACTGGATAGGCAGCTTTTCAACCTTTGCCCTCCTTCCTCATTACCTTCTTTTGGAATTCTCTGTGCTTATTGTTCCCATCTTAGTGTCCATGTAGTTTAGTCCATGTAGTTTAAACCCAATGTTTAGCTCCTAGTTACAAGCAGAAACATGTAGTATTTGGTTTTCTTTTTCTGTGTTAATTTGCTTAGGATGATGGCTTCCAGCTGTACCCATGTTGCTACAAAGGACATGATTTCGTTGTTTTTTATGGCTGTGTGGGTTTGGCTTTTGCTTTTAACATTTACTGTTTCTCTGAGTGTACCAGCTTTGTTCACATTTCTTTGTTCCCCTCACATTTCTTATCCAGTGCAAACCTTAGTTTCAACACAAAACAACACACATAACACAAAAACAAAATCTCCTGGGATTGCTTGTGGTATTAATATATTAAGTGTAAATTTGGAAAAATTTGTCTTTACATTAGTCTTTCTATTCAAGAACAAGAATGATTAGCTAAATTTTATGCAAGGGGGCATAAAATGTGGGAGATATAATGCCTGGAAGTTCAACTTCTGCCAAAATTTGACTGGTATCTTAGAAACTCAAGTTATTAGATTAGAGTTAAGGAAACATGTCAAGAATGAGAGAAGAAAGCCACTGGGTCCTTATAGTCCTTTGAAGAAAATAGTACTAACTAAAAATGAAGTATTGTTTGGGGCATATATATAGCAAGGGAACAATGAATATAAACAGAAGACCTCAGACCATAGTTACCTCTAGAGGGAAGGCTGGATGGAGCATGGACATGAAGGAAGCACACAGGCAGATGTAAGTTATTGGGAAGGTTCTAGTTTTGGATTGGATAGTAAATTCATAGGCCTTAATTATACTTAAAAATATAAACAAATGGATTTAAAATAACCATGAAGGCTATGCATGGCTCAATTAAGATAGCACATCATGAACTAGGGATTATGATTAATCCCATTCTGTGCTCCCACATTCCTTGAAAGAATTTTTAAAATGCTAATAATGAACACTTGAGCACTTAGAATGTTTTAATGTATTATCATAGGTGTCCTTACATATTAATTCATTTTCCTGTATTAATAGCTCTGTGAAATAGGTATTACCTTCATTTTGTAGACCAGGAGACAGAGGCATAAAGAGGTTGAGTAACTTGACCATGGTTCCACAATTTATGTTAATAATTGGCAGTCAGGATTCAGACTTAGGCTGCCGCCTCCAACATCTGTACTCTTAATCACAGTGTTGCAGTGAGTGCCTCATATGGATATAATGGGTGTTGTCCAGGGGCTAAAAACTTGGCCAGAAGCACTGAGTTATTGATGAAGCTAGAGTTCAGTGAGAAGGAAAGACAGTTCCCTAGGGTACCAGAAAGAAACAGCAGATTAATGAAGGGTACACCCAGAAAAGAGAATATATAGGCAAGGAAGGCCATCAAACTTAAGGCTTCTGGAGGGAAGGTGGTGGTTGGATTAAAGAGTAACCAGTGAGTGAAAAATATGTAGGAAAGGTTTAATCATAAGAGCTGCCATTTACCTAAAAAATACTGTGTGCCTTACATATGTAATGTTTAATCCTCACAAGAGCCTTTAGAGGTATAGTATACTCCCCTTATCTGAGGGGCATACATTCTAATACCCCTAGGAGATGCTTGAAAATGTGGATGGTATCAAACCCTGTGTATACTATGTCTTTTCCTCTACATACATACCTGTGATGAAGTTTAATTTATCAATTAGGCACAGTAAGATATTAACAACAACTAGTTATAGAACAATTATAACAGTCCGTCAGCGTCACTATTCTTGTGCTTTGGAGGCATTATTAAGTAAAATAAGGGTTACATGATCACAGGCACTGCAATACCATGACAGTTGATCTGATGACCAAGACAGCTAATAAGTGACTAACAGGTAGCTAGTGGATACAGAGTGGATACACTGGATAAAGGGATGATACATGTCCCAAATGGGAAAGAGCAAGAAAGTGTGAGATTTCATCACCAGAATGGCACATAATTTATAACATATAAATTGTTTATTTCTGGCATTTTCCATTTAATAATGTTGATCCCCAGTTGACCCTGGGTAACTGAAATTGCAGAAAGCAAAACCTCAGATAAATGGGGGATACTGTATAGGTATTGTCATTATTTCTGCTTTACAGTTGAGAAACAGAGAATGTGGTGATCTTGATTGGACAGTGATGCCCAGAATGACTGATATAGAGGAAGCTTTTACTGTATTTTGAAGGCTGTGGGAGCCATTGAAGCATTTAGAGCTGGGCAATAACCAGAGCTCACTTTTGGAACTTGTTATATTGAGTTCAGAAATGATTTCTGTCTTTCTCACCATAGGAACTCTAGAACTGCTATTCCTTCCCATGACAGGACAGGGTGGCATGAGGGTGGCAGGCCACTGTGTCTGTCAGTACTGCCAGACAGGACTTAATTCCATGGTTATTCCTCTCTCCCTTCTAGGTTTCCTTGCTCAGGACTCTGTCCCTGCAGAAAAGAGGAACACAGAGATGTTAGGCAAACCACCATCTGCTGGGTCCCAGGTGGGTCAGGCTTTCTTCTGACTTCCTTATTTAATTAAACCGCTTCCTCGTTTCCTTTAAGTTTTTATATAACTATCACTTTGCTGAGCCTTTTTTTCTGGCTACTCTGTTTCCTTCTGATTCTTTTCTTTTTCTTGTTTCTCTAAGAAAAATCCTTCTGATTGTTTTATCCTCCTTCCATGCTTTACTTTTCTCTGTTGTACTTATCACCATCTCACATACTGTATATTTATTATTTTTCCTCTTTTCATGTCTTTTGAATTAATTGTTTATTTTTTTAGTTTTCCATTTTATTCAAAAAACCTTTATGTGGTTTGCATTGTTATTGTACCCCTTTTTATAGATGAGGGAGTGCAGGCAGAAAGTCTAAGTAAGATGCTGAAGGTCACAGAGCTGTTAAATAATACAACTAAGATATGAACCCAGGCAGTCTGGCTTTTGGGTCCACAATCCTAACCATTACATTAGTTATTACATTAGTACTACATTAGTTATTGCTGCCTAATGTAGTACTAATACTGCAGCTTAGGCTCATCAGATTTAGCAAGTATACACAACACCCAATTAAATTTGAGTTTTAGATAAACCATGAATAAATTTTTCATGTAAGTATGAATAAAGTTTTAGCATAAGTATTAAGTTGAAACAATTTTTTGCATAAATATGCAATGTTTAATATTTAAGACATACTTATGCAAAAAAACTATTTGCTGTTTATCTGAAATTCAAAAATTTTAAATGTTGATTATACTTTATGTTTGTATATTAAGAATTTCAAGCCAGGCATGGTGGCCCACACATGTAATCCCAGACTTTTGGGAGGCCAAGGTGGGAGGATCACCTGAGGACAGGAGTTCCAGACCAGCCTGGCTAACATGGTGAAACCCATCTCTACTAAAAACACAAAAATCAGCTGGGCATGGTGGCACATGCCTGTAATCACAGCTACTCAGGAGGCTGGGGTGGGAGAATCACTTGAACCTGGGAGGCAAAGGTTGCAGTGAGCGAAGATCACATCACTGCACTCCAGCCTGGGCTACAGAGTAAGATCCTATCTCAAAAAACAAACAAACAAAACAATAACACACAGTACAGAACTCTTCTAATTTTTTAAATCAGAATCCACAAAACCAGTTAATAATGACATTTCCTAATTTTTTGGTTATGGTAGCAAATATAAATTTTTGAAAAGGATAAAAGGACCACGAGTCAAATAAACACATCTGAAGGTGCTGGGCAGCCAGTATATGAACCCTAATTTAATCCATTGTTGGTTGATTTGCATAAAAAGTTTTAGAAAGTTTCAATTAAAACACAAAAGATGTATATTAATAAAATGGGTATCATAGTATTATGTAATCTTCTGATATCTGCCTTTTTATTTTTGTAGTATGAAAAGATTTTATGTGTTTAATGTAGTGAATCTCTTTATTTTAAAGTTGAGACAATGAGAATTGAAGATTAATTAGCCCATATCTCACAACTAGCTAATAGCAGAACTCAAGACTCTTTATTCCAGTATAGGTTTGTTCCCATGATTTTCTCTAATAGTTAAAGGATGAGATGGAAAAAATAAAAGCAGGAGGGTCAATGGAGAATTTACAGTAGGAAAACATTTGGGAACAGTAAGAGAGCAGTCTTAAAAATGCTCTGACTACCACATGACCACCATAGTTTAAATATGCACTGTGAATGGGAAATTATGACTGACCGTACAGTGTTTCTTACTTGAAATAAATACCTTTTCTACAACTAAATTCAATTCTTAAAATGAATCAGGTAACATTTCTCTTTTAGCAGTCTTTTTTTTTTTTTTTTTTTTTTTTTTTTTTTTTTTTTTTTTTTTTTTTTTTTTGACAGAGTCTCGTTCTCTTGCCAGGCGCCAGGCTGGAGTACAGTGGCACAATCGGGGTTCACTGCAACCTCCGCCTGCTGGGTTCAAGCAATTCTCCTAACTCATCCTACTGAGTAGCTGGGACTACAGGCATGCGCCACCACGCTGGGACTACAGGCGTGCGCCACCACGCCCAGCTAATTTTTGTATTTTTAGTAAGAGACGGGGTTTCACTATGTTGCCCAGGATGGTTTCGATCTCTTGACCTCGTGATCTGCCCGCCTCGGCCTCCCAAAGTGCTGGGATTATAGGCATGAGCCACTGCGCCTGGCCTTTTTAATCTAATAATATTGATTATCGATTATATTCAAGGCATTGTAGCATATTAACTGTATTAGTTAAGTATAATAAAGCACAAGAAAAAATGGTTATGAAAAACTGAGATTGCTCTCTATTCTAAATATTTTGAGTCAGACTCCTTTGAGAAACTTGGAATTTTTCTCTTCCAGAAAGGTGCACATTCACTGCAAAGCTCAGCCTTAAGAAGCCATGATTGCCAGGTTAAGACCCCAGCCTAACAATGTACCTTTGGTTTTGAATCATTTTTTTGTTGCCAAAGTACAACTAGAAACAACAGAAAAGTTCATTAACTGCTATAACACTTTGAGCAAAATGGCTAGCAAGTTTCAATTTTCAATTTTTGTCCTTACCTGTCTATAAAGACTGTTTATTGGATTAGCATATTTGAGTGGGAAGATCCCATGCATTTTCTCATACATGTTACAATTTTCTAGTTGGTAGACATTCAGATTTGCTAAGGAAGGTAAGTATCCTATTGCCTTAGGATAATGTTAGATTTGAAGATGTCAGTCGATGTTTTATTTTTTCACTTTTTTTTGGAATCAGGACATACATATGTAGGTTTGTTACCGAGGTATATTGCACGATGCTAAGGTTTGGAGCGTGAATGAATCTGTCACTCAGGTAGTAAGCATAGTACCCAATAGGTGGCTTTTCCCAACCCTCCCTCCACTCTCTCCCTGCCTTCTCGTGTATTCCCTAGTGCCTATTGTTCCCTTTTTAATGACTGTGTATACACAGTGTTTAGCTCCCTAAACACTGTGTATACACAGTCATTAAAAAGGGAAAAAGTCATTAAAACCAAATACCACGTGTTCTCACTCGTAAGTGAGAACACATGGTATTTGGTTTCTATTTCTGCGTTAGTTCACTTAGGATAATGGTTTCTGGTTGCGTCTGCGTTGCTGCAGAGGACATGGTTTTGCTCTTTTTTTGGCTGCATAATGTTCAATGGTGTATACATGCCTCATTTTCTTTGTCCAATCCACTATAAATGGACATTTGGGTTGATTCCATGTCTTTGCTACTGTGAGCAGTGCTGTGATGACCATATGGGTGCATGTGTCTTTTTGGTAGGATGGCTTATTTTCCTTTGGATATATGGTATCTGCCTTTTAAATTCAACTTAGGTTACCAAGATTGTTGTATATAACTGTAGTTAATTGATTTCTATTGCTAGAATACTATTCCATTGTGTGACTATACTATATTCATCTCTTCTACTGTTAATGAATGTTTGGATTATTTCCAGATTTTGGGTGTTACAAACAATGCATGAGCATGTTTATAATATGCATATTATAAACATGAGCAAATATACCTAGGAATAGAATTTTCAGGTCCAGTGGAGAGTAGAAGGTTGGTTACCAGAGGCTGGGAAGGGTAGTAGAGGGTTGAGTGGAGGTGGAGATGATTAATGGGTACAAAAAAAAATAGAATGAGTAAGACCTACTATTGGTAACACAATAGGGAGTCTATAGTAAATAATAACTTAATTGTACATTTTAAAACAACTTAAAGAGTGTAATTGCATTATTTGTAACTCAAAGGGTAAATGCCTGAGGGGATGAACACCCCATTCCCCATGATATGCTTATTCCACATTGCCTGCCTGTATGAAAGCATCCCATGTACCCCATAAGTATATACAAGTACAATGTGCCCACAAAAATTTTTAAAAATTAAATAAAGAATTTCTAGGTCAAAACTGTTTTTCCAATTTACATTTCCCTTAGCATCTCCAGTGGATCCATGTTTTATATAATACTTGGTATTGTCACACTTCTTAATTTTTACTCAATACTCAATTGAATGGGTATAAAATGGTATTTTGTCATCTTGATTTTCATTTCCTTGTTTATTAATAAGATTGAACATTTTTTCATGTTATGAGAACCTTATTTTACAGATGGGGCTCTGCGACTTAACCTACCCAAACTCACAAAGAACCAGACCCAGGACTCTGATTCCTGGGGCTGAGATATACTGCTGAGTTTTTAAGTATTTGCATGCTTGCATTCTTTCTTGATAAAGTGGCTTAAAAGGATATTTTCCCTCCAACTCAAATAGGTAGTAATTAGCAACAGGAACTATTACAGTAATGTTTCCACTTCTCTCAGACCCAGAAGGATGCAATGCCAGGTGCCCGTGGCTCTGGATTAGAGCACTTGGAAGCCCTCTGCTGGTCTGAATGCCTGCATCATGTTGAGTCCCCTCTAATCAGGTTCTTTCTCCCCCTCTGGAATCCTCCTGGACTTCGAACACTTACGAACATTTCTGGTGTTTTAGGAGTTGGTGACCTTCAAGGATGTGGTTGTGCACTTCAGCCTGGAGGAATTAAGCTCCCTTAGTGCTGCTCAGAGAAACCTCTACCGGGAGGTGACCCTGGAGAATTACCGGAACCTGGTCTCCCTGGGTAGGTATGCCTTCACAGGACTTGGTTTCTTCCCACTAGGGCAGTGGCTCTCAAATACTTTGTGTCCTCTCATCAGTGATGGTAGTTCACCATGTCAGTGAGTCTCAACCCAAGGTCAGAGGCAATATTTTAATATTTGAACATCAAATTCATTGTTAATTATAAAATAGCTAACATTTACTGACTGAGCACTAAATATGTGTCAGGCTCTGGTGTAAGTCTTTTACATGTTTCATCTTCTTGAATCCTCACACCAGTCCTATGAGTGGGAGATATGCTTATTGTTGTTGTTATTATTGACATTTTTAACGTTGAGGAAACTGAGTCATTGAAAGGTTAAATTACTTGTCAAAAGCTGGGATTTAACCCCAAGCAGATTGACTCCAGAAAATCTGGTCTCTTAAACTCTGATGTGCTACCTGACAGGGGTTTGCTCCATCAGTTCTCAGCACAATGGAAGGCTTGAAATGATGTTTTGTGAATGAGTGAAGAAATTGCTAAAAATTCCAGGAGCTCTAAAGACTTCTACTGGTTTTAGGTGTAAGAATCAGAGATTGCCAATCTCTCTTTACATCCAGAGGCAAAATTGTTTTACCTGTTCTCACAGGTAATGTTGAAAGTAAAAAGTGAAAAGTTTATGTTGCCGATGCCAAGATCCTTTTTCAGTGGCTTTTTTGGGGGCTTGAGGTCCCCTGAAAAGCAGAATCCAAAACAAATACTGTTCAACTGGCAGTAACTTTGTGAAGTCAGAGACCTAATGGGAAGACACATGCATCCTATCTCAAACCTGGCCCAGGGGTGCACACTTTGAACTCTGGTTCTTATCGGTTACAAGGAAGTACATTTTCCAACATCTTTTACACTCTTCTCTAGCTAACCACATTTTATGCATTAAAATAGAGGGAATAGTATCAAAATAGAGGAAATAAATTAATTTTATCTTTTCAGCTCTTACTCAGTGAACTGGAGGCATTCTGTCTCGTGAGCCCTTGGCTTCTTTAACACTGAAGGTTTTGTGTTAATAGAGATCTTATATATCACCTGGAACATTGCCTTCCCAAGTGTGGAATGAGTACAGTGGGCTAAATAGAAGGTTCTTTTAGGCAGTACATGGACAGCATGACATAATCCTTCAATCTGTTGGTGAGAAATAAGTTCTTCTTCTAATTTTCTTTTAAGTCTTACGATTATATCAAGTAAAGAATATCAGTTTGATGTTAGCGTATCTCTCTGTGTTTTTATTCTTCTGTTTTATCAAAGAGAGAGCAGACATCAAACCCTGGGTGCTAGATAGGCAACAGAAGCTAGCTAGCACTCAATAACCTTAGTTTCTGTTATATTTATCATTACGTTACCTTCAATTTTTGTGTGTGTGTGACATTGGTTTTTATTTACAGGGTTGATATAAAGCTTCCATGGAAAATAAGCATATTGGCTGTGTGCAATGGTTTATGCCTGTAATCCCAGCACTTTGGGAGGCTGAGGCAGGTGGTTCATTTGAGGTCAGGAGCAAGACCAGCCTAGCCAACATGGTGAAACCCCATCTCTACTAAAAATATGAAAAATTAGCTGGGCATGATGGCAGGTGCCTGTAATCCCGGCTACTTGGGAAGCTGAGGCAGAAGAATCGCTTGAACCCGGGAGGCAGAGGTTGCAGTGAGCCAAGATTGCGCCACTACACTCCAGCCTAGGCGNAAAAAAAAAAAAAAAAAAAAAAAAAAAAGAAGGAAGGAAAGAAAATAAGCATATTTAAGTTAAAAAGAAAGGTGATCTAAAGAAAAACATTAAATAAATACTGAATACAACTATAAATGGCACATAGAAGTGCCAAAATATTCATTAACTTGTCAGCAAACTGAGAGGTACAAAGTCTGGTACAGGCATTGGGGTTACAAAATAGATGACAATCCGTTCTCAAGGATATTACATTTGAGTGAAGAGAGTCAGACAGTAAACAAATAGTTTGGCATGCAAATGATAGAAGTTTGGGAAACAAGGAAATAAGGGAGGGGGAAGAACAGCATTTCAAGACAAAAGGGCAGCGGATGTTATCACAGGTGGGAAAAGAACCAAATGTTGACTTTGTGAGCAGCTGCAGCAGATTCTTATTGCTGAAGTATAGAGCTCAACACACTGCCCTCGTGCCCCATTTTTAGTCTTCATAGCAGTTTTTCAACCTTGGCACTCTTGACGTGGGGCCAGATCATTCTGGGTTGCAGGGCTGTCTTACAGAATGTTGAGCAGCATCCCTGCCTCCAGCCATTCTAGACACCAGGAACCCCTCCCTCTGCTCCCACAGTTGTGACAACCAAAGGTATGTCCATGCATTCTAAATGTCCCTTAGGGGATAAGGTCTCTATAGGCTGGAAACAGGTTTCATTTTACTCCTGTGAGAGTTTGTTCCTTCCTTATTATCCCAGAGTCTTTGGGACCCAGTGTTGGGAGTTACTGAACCCCTGAGTTCTGAGTCTTCCTCTCCAACAGGGTACCACTTCTCTAAACCTGACATTATCTCACGCCTGGAAAAGGAGGAATCACGTGCAGTGGAGACAGACAGCAATGCAGTGATTTGTCAAGGTGGGTAGTGACGGGGAAGCCCAGGGTGGAGGAGTTAGGACCAGGAAATGCTAGTCAGGGAGCTTTCTTCAAAGCCCCTCTGGGCCAGGGAGAAGGCTGGTAGGTGCTCTCACCTCAGGGGCTCTTTCTCCTCAGTACTCCCCTTCGTCTCCTTTCTGAAGTTCATCTCTTCCTGCAACATGAGTTCCTCTCCTGCTCAGCTCCAGGAAGCCAATGTCCTTTTTCACTTGTGTTCCAGCCCTTCCATTCACTCATGCGTTTCTCCTTGCAGCTAGAAATCATAGATCTTTCTTCTTTAACTGAGACCAGCAAAAAACCTTGGCCTGATACCACTTGTCTTTCTCACTGCCCCTCCACTTCCCTCACATCAGCTCCTTACGCTTGTTGACACCCAGAGGCTCCCTTCCCTTTGCTTCTTAACCTGCACATCTGGTTTCCATCCCTCTCCTTCTGCCAACATAGACACACATATACGCTCTTATTTGAAACTTATTTGAAACTTCTTCCACAAAAGGTCCCCACTAGCATCCTCATGGTTCTAGAATCACAAGAATGTTCTAGACTTCACCTCTCCCAAACTCTATGGCTACAATCTAATAACATCCACCATCTTCATAAAATGCCCTTCTTTGAATTGGGTCACCATGCGCATCAGCTAGGATCACTGTTGTCCTTCAGTTGTCGTTAACAGAAAACCCACATGCAAACTGGCTAAAGTCATAGAGGGATTATTAGCCTGTGACACTGATCAGCTGGGCTGTATTCAGGGACCTAGGGAAGTAATCGAAGACCTAGTTTCATTTTCTCCTACTGTGCCTTAAACTTTGACAATAAATCCTAGATGCATTTTTTTTCCTGTACAAAGAAGGAGCAATAAAGAGCTGGTGTGCCCAAGAGGCATTCGAGAGAGAGAGGAAGCATCTTTTCCAGAAGCCCTTGACATACCTCTCCCGATTTTTCATTGTTCCATATTGGGTTATATCCCTTTCCTGAATGAGCAGCTGTGTCCAGTACAGTGCTAATTGACACAGCCCTCCTCCACCTTTTTCAGTGTGAGTGGAAAAGTTGATGTCCAAACAAAACCCAAGAAGTTACCAGGAAGACTCCTCTCTGTTTCTTTCATTGTTTTTTCCTCTTTCCCTACTCTGGTTTGTTCATCCATTCAGTCATCCATAGATATTTATCAGGCTTCTCTTGTGGGCCAGGTACTGTCCTAGCATCTGTGGATATAATAATGAACAAGACAGACAAATCTCTTCATTCATAGAGCTTGCATTCTAATGAGAGAGGTAGCTTTAAAAAGCAGACAAATAACAACTGAGTGTAAAGTGGATAGAGAGTGAGATATGGGAGGTTGCTTAAGAGGGACCAGTCAGAGAAGGCCTCACTGTGGAAGATGTGAATGAGATGAGGGGCTGACCCATGTAGAAATCTTAAGGAAGAGTGTAATAGGCAGGGCAAACTGCAAATGCAAGGACCCTGACATGGGAATGAGGTTGGGTGTTCTAAAACCAGGAAGAAGGGCAATATGGTCTGAGTTCAGTGGAGGGTAGATGATGAGCCCACTCAGATAGTCAAGGGCCAGCCCACTTAGGAATATGTTAAAGAATTTTGTTGTAAGTGAGATGCGAAGATGGTGGGAAGTTTTGAGTAGGGGAATGAGGTGGTGTTATTCACATTTTAGAACTTTGCTGTCCAATATGGTAGACAGTAGGCACATGTGGCTACTTATATTTACACTAGTAAGAATTACATAGAATTTAAAATTTAGTTCCTCAGTCACATAAGCCACATTGAAAGTATTTGATAGCCACACATGGCTAATTGCTACTGTGCTGGACAGCAAATATGTATATAATTTCCATCATCACTGGGAGTTCTGCTGGGCAGTGATATTCTAGAAAGATCCATCTGGCTGTTCTATGGAGAACTGGCTTTATGAGGAAAAGCCAGAGAAACCAGTTCAGGAGGCCATTGAATTCCATCAGGCTAAAGATGATGGAGGCTGAGGCTGTGGTTGTAGAGGAGTCAGGTTTGAGGTATTCCCTGAAAGGAGAACTGGCAGAACATGCTGAAATATTGGATGTACAGCAGGGTGAGGGAAACAAAAGAGCCAGTGAGGACTAGGTGTTCTCTTAGTCTTCCATTCTTGAGTGTTCTCTTCAAAGACCACCTCTAGAAGAGTCAATCCATTGTGATGGGCCCAGCTATCCCTCTTCTTGATGACTTCCTAAGCCATGTTCTGCTTCTGTTTTACCTGTACTCTCTGTTCACATATTTCAAGTGTCTGCCAGGATGCAACTACTGTGTTAATCACCTCTCTTCCAAACCACAGTCTTATACTTGACTCCCTTGGCTTCAGTATTTTTCCTACCAGAGAGTTACCTTTATAAAGCATAGACTTTTTATCAACTTCTTACCACCGTCAAGAGAAAATTCAAACTTTTAGCAAAACACTAAAGTTCCTTCCAGTCTGGCCTGAAATTCACATCCCAGCCTCATCTCCTACAGATCTTGCGAGTAAGATCCTGTGTTTCTAGCTACCTAGGACTGTATACTTTCACAGTTCTATGGCCTAACTCAGGCTGTTTTATAGAAACTCTTACCCCCTTCCCCGTTTAATGAGGCCAAATGCTGTCCTTTCCATTAATCATGTCCTGTTCCTAAGTGGAGTCAATTCCCCCGTCTCTGCTCTTGTGTCATTTATAATCTGATTAGAGCCCCTTTTACAGACCTCTGACCCATCTGGTTAGATAATGCCTTGCACAAAACAGGCATTTAATAAATACTGAATTAAAGGAAATTGATTGGCAGTATAGACTGGGGTAAAACAAGAGATTTGGAGCCAAGCAAAGAGAATCTTTGCTTAATTCTGAACAAGAGGTTGTTGACCTGTTCAGTCCAGTGTTTCCTCCGTGATCCTGCAGACCCATGGTAATAGATGTTCTTTAAAAAAAAATGTTTCATGGCAAGATCAGTTTAAGAAATGCTACATTCTGCACCTTCCCTCCTTGGGATTCGAGGTGCATATTAAAAGTTCCGAGTCCCATGGGAATGAAACCTGCTTGATTTTCATCATACAACATTTTCCAAATTGACAACGGAACCCCCTTCGTGGCTATTTGTTTTGCAGAATATTAGCAATCTGCCAAACGTGGTTTGGAAAATGCTCACAAACTCCAACCGCAGCTCTTTCTCTGATTTCCTCTCATTCTACTCTGTACATTTCTGGCATCTTTGTGACATGCCATCCTCCTGGATGACCTTTTTCTGCCTCTTCCTCACTCTTCCTTGCTTACTGTCCTTTCTATCCTTTTCCTATTTTCTTTTTAGGTTTTCAGAAAGCCCTTTCAACCTCCATAAGATCCATCTGTTACCCTTGGTCTGTTTATTTCTATTATATTGGTATGTCTCTCTGAGTAAAAAGAATAGAGGAATTTTTACATTTTCTTTTTAGATTAGGAAAAGAGACCTGAAACCAAAGCAGTAACTCCAGGGCAAAGCCTGCCTACAGAAATATTATTATTGCAGGCAGAAATGGAGAATTAGCAGTAGGTAACTTCTGGCATGTCTCTGCAGGAGAGTCTCATGACGACCCATTGAAACCACACCAGGGCAACCAAGAGAAACTTTTGAGTCCTATAACAATGAATGCCCCCAAGACTCTCACTCAGGAAAGAAGCTATGGCAATGATGAATTTGAGAGACACTCTAATCTTACTGAACAATCAGAGGATCCTCTAGGAAAGGATCCCCAGGAAGGCACTACTCCTGGAATATGTACCAGTCCCCAGTCAGTGTCCCAAGAGAACAAACACAACAGATGTGAATTTTGCAAACGAACCTTCAGTACTCGAGTAGCCCTCAGGAGACACAGGAGGATCCATACTGGGGAGAAACCCTTTGAATGTAAACAGTGTGGTGAAGCCTTCTATCTCATGCCACACCTCAAGAGACATCAGAAGACTCATTCTGGTAGGAAGACATCTGGCTGCAAAAAAGGTAGAAAGTCTTCCATCCAGTGCACGAAGCTCTGTGAACGTGTAGGAATTCGTAGTCAGGAGGACTACTGTGAATGTTTTCAGTGCGGCAGAGCTTTTACCCAGAACGTGCATCTTTTTCAACATCTCAAAGCCCATGAGACAGCAAGAGTCCTTCCTCCCTGGTTGTCCCGCAGCAAGACATACTTCATTCGTTATCAGCGGAAACACGACTATGTTGGAGAGAGAGCCTGCCAGTGTTGTGATTGTGGCAAAACCTTCAGTCAGAGTTCACATCTCATTCAGCATTATAGAACTCATGCTCACGAGAAGCCTTACCAGTGTCAGCTGTGTGGGAAATGTTTCAGCCGACCCTCATACCTCACTCAGCATTATCAACTCCATTCTCAAAAGAAATGTTGAGTGCAATCACTGTTGAGAAACCTTCAGTCACAGCACGCAATTTTCTCAACAGTTTCAGCTTCATCCTAGAAAGAGTGTTCTGAATGTGAGAAGGCCTTCCACTAGCCCCCACACCTTGTTAACGGCTTGAAAATTCATCAAAGTGTGGTCCAAAAAAAAGTTGCAAGGATGTAGGAAAACCTTTTTCCAAGAGGGGGTTCCTCACGTGTCACACAGGTGAAAAGCTTACAAAGAGTATTTTTGTTGCGTAGAAAAGTAGCTAATAGATTTTTCCCTTTTTCAGTGATATTCATCATGAGGGAGGATTGCCCTCATTTCTTTATATCAGAATGTATTCATGGGTATTTGTTCTATGGGCTGTAATTCAGTACTATCATTTATTTTGCTGTTTAAATGGCTACAGCTTTGACCATTGGGAGCTCTTTCGAGTTGGCTCCTGTGCCTTTTCAGTAAGCTCCCGTCCTTTTCTGGAACCACTTTCTTTGTCCATCCTCCGTAATTTTTCTCCCTTCATCTCCAGGAAAAGCCTGTCATGTCTTTAAGATAGTTTCTACCTCATGCACCATCTCATGAAGTTTGCTGCTTTCCCCAGGTCAGAAGGCTCATGGCCTGATCAGTCTTTTATTTCACTTCTCCCTTTGCAGTTTTTGCTAGATCTACATTCTGCTTGAAATGTTATTTACTTAATATTTTTTGTCAATAGAATCATCTCTGTTTTTTGAACTTTGGTACCTCTACTTAAAAAGGAAATGTTTAAGTCACCCCAGACAAAGGGTTTTACTCACACCATAACCAGACTGCCCTGATTATCTCCAAGATGTCCTTTTACAGTTGGGTTGTTTCAATCTGGATCTAAACATAGTCCACAGATTGCATTTGGTTGTTTGATCTCTTAAGTCCCTCTTAATCTAAAGCAATCCCCTCACATTTTTAAGGCCTGTGCAATCCTGAGGTTAATATAGAACTTCCCTCCTGTTCCTATCCAGTTCCTGATACATCAAACAGTTTAGACACTTCTCTTCATATTTACATTTTTTAATTTAGAAGAACTCATTTGAAAATTTTTATATTTCATTGTGGTAAAAACCACATAAAGCTTAGCATCTTAACCATTTTTGAGCATACAGTTCAGTTACGTTAACGTATATTCACATTGTGGGCTGGGCATAATGGCTCACACCAGTAATCCCAGCACTTTAGGAGGCCGAGGTGGGTGGATCACCTGAGGTCAGCAGTTCAAGACTGGTCTGGCCAACATGGTGAAATCCCATCTCTATTAAAAAATAGAAAAATTAGCCGGGCATGGTGGTAGGCACCTGTAGTCCCAGCTACTCAGGATGCTGAGGCAGGAGAATCACTTGAACCAGGAAGGTGGGGCTTGCAGTGAGTGGAGGTCACACCATTGCACTTCAGCCTGGGCAACAAGAGCAAAACTACATCTCAAAAAAAAAAAAAAAAAAAAGATATATTCACATTGTTACACAACAGGTGCCCAAAACTATTTCATCTTACAAAACTAAAACTGTGTGCCCATTAAACAGTAACTCCTCATTTCCCCTTCCCCATACCTGGCAGCTTCCATTCTAGCACTCCTTTCTTTCCCTCAAGTTTTGTGTGATTATGCAAGTAGTACTAGGAGAAACTGGGTCAGTTGTTCTGTGGAATGTCCCTTAGTCTAAGTGTGTGTGTTTGCTTCCTGTGGTGCCCGTCAGCTTGTTCCTCTCTCCCCGGGATATTCTGTACATAGAAGTTAGCTCTAGGCTCTGGAGACTTAATTTACATTCATATTCAACTTCTTTGGCAAGAACACATCATAGGTGGTTCTGTGTGCTTTACATAATATTCCACCAGGGCACATGATGTCCGCTTTGCCCGAAGGCCCAGCTTTTTGATGTTATGCTCCAAGCCAACGTAGCAGTCACTAACAATGATGTTTCAAAGTTTTCACCATCACTGGGTATTTTTCCTGGGCCAGCTGCTTTAGTTCCTTCTGCATTGTCTCCTCTAGATTTCTCTACAAACCTCACCTCGATCACCTCAGCCTGATCGTCAGAGGTCTGAAATTAAACATGGTAGATACCGCTTGAGGGGTCTAGGTATGGGCTGTTGTATTGACAACCATGGGCCAGGATCTAAGGCTTCTTGAGGACCTTTAATTCAGGAAAGTCAAGAAATGTCAAACTAGATCAGCTTCCTTTTGAGGCTGCTTTCATGCCACAAATGGCAGTAGTGTCAGTGTACTGCCATGTACTTTTTGGAATACATGGGATGTGCACAAGCCATTGCTTCTACGTTTTATAAGTCAGGCTTCAGGTTACCGAAGCGGGTGCCCCAACCTATGACTTGGCTTTCAGCCTGCTGCTTTTCTTGCTGCTATCCTAATGGGCCCTGGGAGAATGTAGAGATCCATGCTGCTGCTTTCCCACCTGATTCCTAACATATTTAACAGTTTGGGCACTGCTCTTACATTTGAGTTTTTTTGTTTGTTTGTTTGTTTGAGGCAGAGTCTCTCTCTGTCGCCCAGGCTGGAGTGCAGTGGTACGATCTCGGCTTACTGCAACCTCTGCCTCCTGGGTTCAAGCAATTCGCTGCCTCAGCCTCCTGAGTAGGTGGGATTACAGGCATGAGCCACCATGCCCAGCTATTTTTTGTATTTTTAGTAGAGATGGGGTTTCACCATCTTGCTCAGGCTGGTCTTGAACCCCTGACCTAGTGATCCACCCGCCTCGGCCTCCTAAAGTTCTGGGATTACAGGCGTGAGCCACCACGCCTGGCCAGGTTAATTTTTTTCTTTAATTTAGAAACACTCATGTTTTAAGATTTTAGTGGCTATGCAAGTAATACATATTCCCTCAAGAAAACTAGAAAATGTTTGTTTTTTCTTTGAATATTTATACTTCCCCCTCCAAGATATACTTGCTACTAAAAGTGTGTGCCCATTTTTTCTTATGCATAAATCTGTATAGCTTTTAAAAGTTATATTTTTAGGCTGGGCATGGTGGCTCACGCCTGTAATCCCAGCACTTCAGGAGGCGGATGCGGGCGGATCAACTAAGGTCAGGAGTTCGAGACCAGCCTGGCCAACATGGTGAAACCCTCTCTCTACTAAAAAATACAAAAAATTAGCTGGGTGTGGTGGTACACACCTATAGTCCCAGCTACTTGGGAGGCTGAGGCATGAGAATCACTCCAACCTGGGAGGCGGAGGTTACAGTGAGCCCAAGTCATACCATTGCACTCCAGCCTGGATCGCAGAGTGAGACTTTGTCTCCAAAAAAAGGTTATATTTTTATGAAATAAACTCTACTACCATAAATTCTGTTTTGAGGGCTATGATTTTCATTCTTGGATATTATGAACATCTTTTCATATATAGAAATACATTCCTAAGCTTCCTTTTAGTACTTGGTTGCATGGATGTGTCCTAATTTATTTCATCTGGCCTTTTAGAATTGGAAACTTGGCTTGCTTGTAATTTATGTCTTATATACACATTGCTGCTCTAGTTACACTTCCTCCCCTTTAGCCCTTGGGTTTTGGAATTTGGGCATTTTTCCTTATTAATTTGCTCTAATGTCTTTGCATCTGGTCTTGTTTTCTAAGGGGAAATCCTCAGCAGTGGAATTTCTGAGCCAAAAGGTGTGTATCTTGAAGGTTTGGGAAATACTCCTAGCCTCATCCTAGCAGGGTCTAAACGTTGTATTGATTTTTCTTTCTCTAGGAAAGGACTATAAACCACTTACTTACCTCTCATCTACAATCCTCTTCTTGAAGAATTTACATGATGAACTCATATTAGGATATAACAGGATTTAAGTCAGGTCTGGAAAGAGGTAAAATTTAGCTTCAATTTTTCATAGTTATACTATAATGAACATTTTCGTACTTAAGCTTTCTTCCAAATGTAGAATCTCTTTAAGATATACTTTGCCAAAGAGGAATTTCTGGGTCAGAAGGTGTATAATTGCTTTTAAGATTTTTGATATATCCAAGTTCCTTTTGGAAACGTTACATCAGTTTGCACTGCTGCTACTGCCAGGAATGATTGGGGATAGTGTTCCTCACACACTGGGTGCTTAGTAGGAACTTTGGGTGTTTAGTAGGAACTTTGCTAATAGGGAAAAGGCATCTCATTTTAATTGTCTTTATTTGATTTTTAAGGATGTTGAACTGTTTATTGTAAGCTTCTTAAGCCATTGTGTTTCCACTCTTTGCATTGTCTGTATGTTTTTTTTTTATCATTTGTCTATGTGGCTTTAATAGCTTCCTATCAATTTATACATCTCTTTATATAATAGGGATATTAATTCTTTGTTGTCATCTTGGCTGCAAATGATTTTCCCAGTTTGGTATTTTCTTTATTTTTTGAAAAGGTTTCAATTTTTATATAGTTCAATCCTTCTATTTTTTTTTCAACCCTATAAAATCTAACCCTCATTAAACATTAGTGTTTTATTCTGGAGTTTTAAAAATATGCTTTAGCCATTCTTGAATTTACTTGGGCATATTGTACGAAAAGAATTAAAATTACTCTTCCTCATTGTTAATTGCCTCCACATTATTAGTTAATTATAGTTATATTTTGTAATGTAGGATCTATATTTGGACCATCTATTTCCTTTTATTGGCTTGTTGCCCTGTTTTGTCCTAGAACTATATTCTTTTTAATTTTTATAGCTGTATTTAATGTTTTCCATCATTGTGCCTTTAAAAAGTGTATGTGTATGTATGCATAAATTTATGTGAAGTTATATATGTAACTTTCTTTTGTTCCAGATTAAAATTCATCTTTATTAATCAAAACCAACCTTTTGATTATTATTGTAATGAACTTATAAATTAGGCAGGATTACCATTGTTACATTTCATCTTAACATCCAGGAATATGATATTGTCTTTTCATTCATTCAAGCTTTTGTATCAATCAGTAAAGTTTTACAGTTTTCTTATCAAAATGTCACAAGTTTTCCTTAGTTATTTCTACATAGAAGAAAGTTGTGAGTTTTCTTGCATAGACTTTAGACTTCTCACAAAAAGCCAGCATCTCAAGAATAGGGTCACTTCTGCATTGCCAAGGAATTCTGAAATTTCAGAATCAGATTAACTACATTTGGCTGCTTTATTAGAGTCTCATAAGATAATGTCGGCT